CCCAGTTTCTTCCTCGTGAGGAAACCAGTCTTCTCTGTTCCTCTATAGCTTGCTACTACCATAGACTAACTGAGCATCCTGGTTTGGGTTCCCTCAGAAGCTGACCCTGAGACAGGCATTTGAGACCAAGTTTATTTGGAAGGTGAAGGCAAACCCAGTAGCGGAGTGGGGAAGTGAGAAAGGAAGGAGAGACCACCAAGACAGCCAAGAAAGAGTAAGTCCAGCCTTCAGAGGTGGAGAGGCCACCATTTTTCAAACACAGCAGATGGACAGTTTTCTCTATCTGCTTATAAGTCTAATTGCAGCATTATAATTAGGGACTCACTTCATTCTGATTTTTGTTTCACGTCTCCCATTTCACATTCTTGTTAAGTACGTATCTACAAGAACACTCTCTTTTCTTCTGGTTAACTCCTAACTTCTGGCTGTGAAGTCATCAGGTCTCAGTGCATCACTTCTTCTAGAAAGCCTTGCTTCATCGCCCTTTCTGGGGTAGGGCTCTTTCTCTGTGCCTCATACCTGTCCTGTTAGAGACTTTGTCATACCATATTGCTTTCATTTATTCATGTAATAAATATCAATTATGCACCTGGCACTGTTTTAGATTCCTGGAGCTTATATTCCAATAGGGGAGTTACTTTTTATTTGTCATTTTATTTTGATTTCTTATTTACCTATGTGTTTACCTCACCTAATCATATCCATTTTGTTCACCATTTATGTCCTTGCTTCTCAGCACAGTGCCTGCCACATAGAGGGAGCTCAATAAAAATGTGTCGAATTGAGTAGAAGAGCCCAGTGCATCTTAGTTCAGGATGATTTGATATTTCTATGGCCTTTTCCAAGGGGGAAATTGAACTCTCACCTTTCCTATTGGCTGTTTTCATACGATGATGTGCCCATTGACAGATAAATTGACCCAACTTGCCTGTTGGGGGTATAAATCTGTTTTTGAGTGAGTTAATGGTATTTTGCCCATCATTTTTTCTTTTTTCAGGCAGGGAGAACATAGCCCTGCCTAGCTGAAGGAAAGTCAGAGAACATCTGCAAAGAGGCTGGAAGCTTCATTTTGCAGACACACAAGGGGCTGACTGAAGCAGTGTAGTGTAATGATCATAAGTAGAGGTTCTAGAGTCAAAGTGCCTGAGTTCAAATCCCAACTCTGCCACTCGCTTGCTGTTTGACTTCGGGCTATAGTTCCTAATGCGTAATTAGGGATAATAATAGTATATACCTTATAGGATGGTGTGTGAATTAAATAAGATTAACACCTTTAAAATTAACAAGTGCCTAGAATATGGTAAGTGCTCAATAAATATTATCATTATTGTGATTTGTTCCCATACATCAATGCTGGTTCATTTAACAATTGGAAGCTGGCTACAGGACTCTTTGTGGTGCTCAAAGTAACATTTTAGTGTTCTTCATACAGTGGAAAAATATGGTGAAGTTCTTCATTTTAAGCAAATTCTAAATTTTAGCCAAATCACATAAAGGTCACAGCCAATCCAATTCATGGTCCAGAGACTGGCTGTTAAAATAACCGCCTAAATCATGAGTTCTTTCCATGATTAAACAAATATTTAGTGAGTACTGTAGGGGCAGAAAAATTTTCCCTTCTTCCCTTCTAGGTTCTTTGGCTAGTCTAATGGTTAAATTGATATAAGACAGATTAACAGGAGAAAAACAAATTAATTATGTACACATGGGAATCCCATAAAGATATGAAGACTCAAAAGGTAGCCAGATAATTGGAGCTTATATAACGTCCTGAGCTAAGGAAAAGGGTGGGGGACTGGGGATACAAAGAAAAGGAAAGCCATTCGCAGGAAGGCAGAGGAGAGGTTTGGAAAATAGAGGTTGCCCTGTAATGCAGATAAGTTTGTTAGGTAAAAAGGTATCTCTGGTAATAGTTCTTTTCCTGGTACAGGGCCCCTTTCCAATGTAAATTTAGGCAGTTGAGGGGGAGGTAAAGAACTTTTCCTGAATCTGTTGGGTTTTTGATTGCCTTTAGCTCAAAATAATTCTCATGCCAAAGTGGCATATTTTGGGTGGCAAAACCTGCTCCCCTTCAGTACCTCTTATGCATTTGGAGCTGGAGATGCCAAGAGGAATGAAATGGATCCTTTTCCTTCAGGATTTCACATGTAAAAGGACAAATTACAGCACACTTTGGAAGGTTCTATAATTGGACACACACATGGCTTTGAGAGCCAGAAGACAGAATGACTAAGTCCCCTTTGGCGATTCAGGAAAGGCTTCACGCAGAGGAGGTGACATTTGAACAACTGTATCTAGACGTAGCCATCATTTAATCACGTGGATTGAATAGGCCTTTGGCTGGAAACCCAGCCATATAGTGACATTGTCCACTATTTTGGGGGAGCCTGGGTAATTATATTCTCATTTACAGTGTGTATGGCAGCCTCACATCAGGTTCTAATCTTGGAGTCCCTGCCATGGAAACCTATACATTTGTATTACCTCATAATGAGGCCCTCTGACAATATTTAATATGCTAATAGGAGTACAGAAGCCCAGAACTGCCTTTCCAGTTATTTTTAAAGTGACTCCATTAGATTAAATAGTAAGCTAGGTAACCACTTTACTGGATCTCCTGTGGTTCTCAATTGCAGAAAGGAATTGACTAAAGACCAGCTTGGGTGGGGTTATGAAATGATTATGGCTGGAGACCTTTAAATCCTAGCTCACGATGCCTAAGGCCAGTAAGCTCAAAAATACATACTCTGTGTAACCAGTTAGGAAGAGTTTGGGAGGAATATTGCTGTTGGCGCAGCTGCAGTCAGCATGAGACTCTAGGAACAAGATCACTCGCCTCTGGATAGCCTCAAAGGACAGCAGAACTGAGGCTGGTGACATCCAGTACTGACACTGGCACTTCAGTTTTTCCGTCATGTCTTCCTCGTCTTCCTTCTCAAACTCAGCAAAATCACAGGTCAACTTTCCTTTTCCGTTTTGCTGATGATGGGAGGTGAATCTCCCTCTCACAGATATTTTTTTTTACCAAGCAAGGGCTCGTGTGCCCGTGGCGCAGAAAGCCAAACTCTGACAGCGGGTGTTTGTAGCAAAGTAAGGGTTTATTGCAGGGTGCCACGCAAGGAGAACGGGCAGCTTATGCTCGAAAGACCTGGACTCCCTGATGGCTTTCAGGCAAGGGTTTTTAAAGACAGTGTTGGGGAGAGGGTCATAGGATGCATGACCAGCTTGTGGAGCTTCCTCTGATTGGTTGGTGGTGAGGTAGCAGGGTGGTATTTCAGGAATCTCAACCTTCTGCTTCCAGCCAGTGTGGTGTCTACATACCTGTGGTCAGCAGGGAGTCACCATCCTCCACTGGGTGAGGGGTCTTAGTTTCTGCCGAACAACTCAGAGATATGCATCAGATTATCTGTATCCTTTCAGGAGGAGCTAGGAGTCCTGTGACTGTTGTCCTCATCGTTAACTGCTTGCGTCTGCTCTTTGGAACTCAGAGAAGCCTAGGAGACTAAAGCCTTTCTCTACAAACAAGAAACGGGACATGGAGGGGCTTTTGTACCTGGGAGGGCCCCTGCAGGGTCCTGCTCAGTTTCAATCCTCCCTTTTCTTTGGTACTCCTCAACTTGAGGGGAACAGGTGCAGGGCAAGAAAGGGAATAAAGTTTGGGATAGAGAGTTTAATCATAAACTCCACAGAGGAACTCAGTGTTAGGGGGACTCCATTTCACGTTCTTCAACAAGCAGCTAATTGAATAACTGGAAGAATAAAAATGTCATAGAAATGAATTTGCAGTATGGCACCCAAAGGTTACTGTCTTAAACCCATGCCTTTTCAAATCCTAAGGAGTAATGTTTATTGTTCCCACTTCCTTTTTTTATTTTTCTTGCGGTATGCGGGCCTCTCACTGTTGTGGCCTCTCCCGTCGCAGAGCACAGGCTCTGGACGCGCAGGCTCAGCGGCCATGGCTCACAGGCCCAGCCGCTCCGTGGCATGTGGGATCTTCCCGGACCGGGGCACGAACCCGTGTCCCCTGCATCGGCAGGCGGACTCTCAACCACTGCGCCACCAGGGAAGCCCCCACTTCCTTTTCTTAATCGTGCCCAGGTTACTATAATGTTTCCTAAAAATGATCCTCAGTTGACCTAAAGAGTCAGCTACTAAGTGCTTTTCTGCCCTTATTTACCAAAATTTATTTTGTATTTTGTACTGATCAGATTGTTTATGCAAACAGTGGCCTGGTCCCCTTGGAAGCAGTCATGTGACCACAGCGCATTACTTGAGTGCATCCCTTTATCTCTTCACTGGGAACAGGGCAGGGTTGGGGCAGACAGCTGCGGCTCACAGGCCAGCCCAGCCTCTCCTGGATCTACGGCTCTGGGTTCACCTTCCAGGCTGAAAGGCAAAGTCTGTTCGAGTTATTTCTTTGTGTGTATGCATGTGTTTTTGTTTTAGTTTTAATTTATTTATTTGTTTATTTTTGGCTGCATTGGGTCTTCGTTGCTGCCCGTGGGCTTTCTCTAGTTGTGGCGAGCAGGGACTACTCTTTGTTGCAGTCTGCGGGCTTCTCATCACGGTGGCTTCTCTTATTGCAGAGCACGGGCTCTAGGCGCACAGGCTTCAGTAGTTGTGGCAGGCGGGCTTCAGTAGTTGTGGCACACGGGCTCAGTAGTTGTGGCTTGTGGGCTCTAGAGTGCAGGCTCAGTAGTTGTGGAGCACGGGCTTAGTTGCTCCACGGCATGTGGGATCTTCCAGGACCAGGGCTCGAACCCGTGTCCCCTGCATTGGCAGGCGGACTCTGAACCACTGCGCCACCAGGGAAGTCCCTGTATTTGTTTTTTGATTTGTTTAAACAAGAGCTCTCCCTGCAGAGAGCTGCAGAAATGTGAGATGTATGGAGCGTGTGTGTGTGTGTGTGTGTGTGTGTGTGTGTGTGTGTGTGTGTGTGTGAGAAGTATGTGTAGGGGGATGCTCCAGAGAGAGCTGGAATTGTACCTCTTTCCTTTCAGATCTCTGCATCCTTCACAGAGAAGTTTTTTTTCTGATTTTGTTTTTCTTGCAACACCTGGGGTGAGGATAAACCTCTGCATCGGCCAAGCAGAAGAAACAGGTAATATGTTTGTTTGTTCTTAGGTATTTTGGGCAAGCAGAAGTCTACATTATAAACATACATTGTGTAGCAGTGGAACAGGAAATGTGTTCTACTTGAAGTTTATTTTATTGCTTTGCAATTTCTCAGAATGACTTTTCTCAAATATGCTGATTACAAATCAGTTGTCATCAGCTTATGCGGCGAGCCGCCTCCGACCAGCAGAATGACGAGTCGCCACACGCAAGATTCTTCTCGTATCACACTTTATTGGAGCACAGCTTGGTTAAAGAAAAGATGGAAGGAAGACCCCGCAATCCTATAGCAGTCTGCTTATATAGGGATTAAGAACATGTGTCGCTCTGTGATTGGCTTTCGCCGATGGTGCGACTTGTGAGCCAGCATCGGATAGGTCGCTACTTTAAAACCTCATTAGTATACTTAGCGCAAGCGCAGTGGCCACAGGAAGGATGATTCAGCTTACTTCAGCTTCCTGCTGCGTGGCAGTTAGCTGACCGCGCCCTACATCTCCCCCTTTTTTATTTACTAGAATCACCAAGCAGAATGTAGCCCGTACAAGTGTTCACCTCATGATGTGCTCACTGTTCGAGGGCAGCCTTCCGTTGGCATGTCTGAGACACCTTCCTGCGTGCAATGCCAACAAGGGCTGCAGGGTGCAAAGGCTGACTCAGAATAAGTTTTGATTCCCTATAGAGGTGCAATGGCAACAGGGCCTCTCCGTGCAAGGGCAATCCATTCGAATTGTTTAGGACGGAGATCCAGGCTGCGGGAGAATCACCTTCACTAACAGCCAAAAGTGCTTGAGTGAGTAGGACCTTATCTCGATGTGCCCTGACGCGCATGCGACAGACCAACCAGAGACATATTATAATCCCAAATATACAGCAGAGCCCAAAGATCCCCACCCCTACCCACTCTTTAAAGAAGGAAAAGGCAGAAGAGAGCCAAGAGGTAAAATCTCCAAAGGTAACAGGTTCCAGCTTGGTAGCATTCAGTTGCATAATCTGAATCTTTTGCTTAAATATCATCCGTTCAGCTTCTTGAGACCAGTTTCCCTTTAGGAATTCTCCAATCTCTGCACTCAATCCTTTGTGGAATTCCAACTAATACAAAGACTTCGATTCAAAATAAAATCACTGGCATTATACGGTGCCCAGTCATAATTCAATGGCTGGGTACAGGCCGTATTCATTTCACAACTAATGGAATAAAATATTGGAAGAACTCTGCTCTGAGAGTGAACCGGCATGGGAACTGGCCAGGTCCGGCTAATTCCCCAGAACGTCATATTCTCTGCCCTAAGCAAGGGAAGAATCATCAGGAACATCCAGCTCAGCATCTTCTCTGAAGTTTTCTTCAACAATTCTCGTCAGTCTTGATGGCACCCAGATCGGATCTTGATCCGACGGTTCACTCCGTGTGTCGAGTTCTGAATCGGTCCTCCATGCAGGGCGCGAAGTTCCCGGGTTTCGGCACCAAATGCGGCGAGCCGCCTCCGACCAGCAGAATGACGAGTCGCCACACGCAAGATTCTTCTCGTATCACACTTTATTGGAGCACAGCTTGGTTAAAGAAAAGATGGAAGACCCCGCAATCCTATAGCAGTCTGCTTATATAGGGATTAAGAACATGTGTCGCTCTGTGATTGGCTTTCGCCGATGGTGCGACTTGTGAGCCAGCATCGGATAGGTCGCTACTTTAAAACCTCATTAGTATACTTAGCGCAAGCGCAGTGGCCACAGGAAGGATGATTCAGCTTACTTCAGCTTCCTGCTGCGTGGCAGTTAGCTGACCGCGCCCTACAAGCTTAAAAAGGTATACAAGTGACTTTGCATTCTGAAGGGTTGTAGCCTGTTTCAGATGAACTCCATACTTGGGAAAACTCTCTGGTCACTTGGGTGAGAGCTAGAAAATGAGGGAGGGGATACTTTGAGAAACCCTTCCAGGCCCCTCATGGGTCATTGCCCACTATACAACTTCATGTTCAGAAATCTTCCTTTAGCTCCCTTACCCTCTTGTTGGTGCAGAGGACCACAGGATTTCCATCTATCTGTAAGAAATGGAAACAGAATTCCTTGCAATGTTCAAGAATTCTCTTTAGTGATTTAGTGCTTCTGTAGATTGATCAAATTGGATCCTGAAACCAAGGCACAGCTAACTTTTTGGTGGACAGACATTTTTGTTCTTTAAGCATGAAACAGAATGGGTCTTTAGTTCTGCCACTGTTCGGCTGTGCCATGGAGTCTGATATTTAATTTCTTAGTCTTAGTTTCTGCATCTCTAATACGGGAGTGAACAACTTTCCCCTTGAAAGTTGCTGTGAAGATTAACTGGAATAGTAGAAATATAAAGTACCCACTGTGCTGGGTAAATAGTCCCTTAATAAATAGTAGTGACTTTAGCTGTTATTATTATTACTGGTAAAGCGTTTTCTCAGATCTTAGCGGTCTCAGGGGAAAAGAGTCCTTTTCTCTGTGAGTCTATAATTATCCCAGAACCAGCAGACAGACACCTGTGGGATTTAACCTCTGGGAGGTCCCGGACAGTGCATTCTGAAGGAAGAGATGTGAGCAAACACGTTTTGTTTCAACACGTCAACCACAGTGGGTACCACCCGTGCATGGCTCCTCCTAACTCATCAGCTAAGAAGAATTGCTCTTTGTTCCAGTTGGTTTTTTCCACCATTGATCTTCTCATTAGCCTTTGATACAAGTCTGTAAGGTAGGTGTTATTATCCCTATTTTCTTATGAGAAAACTGAGGTGCAGAGGAATTAATGACTATCTGAGAAGAATTTAAACTCTGGTTCGTCTGACTTCTAAACTCCAGTGTCCATTGGGCCAGCATTAGGCAGTTAGATTCATATTAGAGATGCATATTAACATCCAGAAAGCTCTGAAGAGTTCTGCAGTAAAGGAACCTGTTTAATCCTACTTCTCCTGAACTTATTTGATGGTGGGACTTTTACTTGTTGGAGGGGTCTTATTTCTAGAATCATAAACCACATAGAACTCCTCTTCCACAAACACACTTTGGAAAACCTGGCACTAGGCCTAGCTGCCTCCTGATTGCAATCCTGTCTGATAGAACACACACCCTCAGATACATTCTGGTGGTCAGTATCGTTTCCTCCTTTTTCTTACCCTTTCATGGACCCAGGAATAATCACCAGCTCCATCTTACAGAACTCCCTTTATTCATTTAAGACCCCACACAGGAGCAAATGCTACAGTGTTCTACTGGAAGAGTAGTGGTGGAAGGGGCCTATCTAGAGCAGTCTGCCAGGGACTCCTCTACCCGGCTCTATGCCCCTTCATTATCTTTAGTCCACAGACATCAGGCTGTAGAACCTCTGTTTCAATGAATGCCAAAGAGAATGCCGCAGAGTAAGCCTGAAGACGCATCTGTCCTCCATGCTTGTGTCTCACAGTCCAAGGGGGAAGAATTAGATCTGCTCACCTCCCACTCTGGGGGCTGGGGTATGGTGCCAGTTAAATGACTATGGGTTCTGGATTTGGGTTTCTTGGGGCCAAGCTGGAGTACAGATTTCTCAAAAAAGTCAGCATCTGTAGGAAAAGCTGAGCTTCTAGCATGGGAAACCATACAAGTCACATCTAGAATGCCAGAGGCGGAGCAGAATCAAGGTCAAGGTGGCTGAGCCAAGGTGTGGACGTTCAATAGAGATGCACTTTGAAAGAAAATCAAGAATGAATAAGAACAACTTGGGGAGGCTGGGCTAGCACTTGGAGGGTGCTTGGAGACCAAGGTTGGGTTGGCTCCAAGGGCCATCTTTTGTTCTTTCCTTGTATTTTCACCTTGGGAAATGAATAGTGGTTAAGATGAAAAGAACTAAACAACGTCAAACAGTTCTCCCCCACTCTACCCTCCCCCGCACCCCCACCCACCCCCCGCCACGCACAGTGAAAACCTTTTAGCAGAAGCCTTGGAAGACTTTCCTTTTGCAGATTATAAGTGTGCCAAGGATGAGTCACTATTTTACGTTTATGCTTTAAAACCACCCTCGGTATATATTGGTAGGGGCAGCAGCACTGAGCAAGTTTCAAGCTGTTATTTGCCAAGATCCACCTTTTAAGTGGTTTATGTCACTGACTACGGCATCCTTGGGTCTTTGTGAATGCTGCAGAGACTACCCACCTCTTGAGCTGGAGAACTCCTTTCAGGCACTAGGGAAATCATTTCTTCAGAGACCTCTTTAGCACACTGTTTATCTGATGCTGACAGAGGGCAGGGAGTGGAAGAAGCTTAGCTTGTCCCAAATAATGGAAAATTCCCAAATCATTTTTATCAGCTTTGCACCACCCAGGGTTGTCCTCAAAGGGACATACACTGCTTACAAACGTGCGTCCCTCTCAGCCTTTAAGTGGGTGATTGCAGTCTAGGTTGGGTAGTGTATGGGAGTAGTAAGTGGCACCGGCCTTAACCAGCTCTTGTTTTGGTGAGAATTAAAATGAGCTGACTCTTTTGTTTTGTTTTACCTGTTACCTAAGGAAATTAAATTATTATTATTTAATAATGTAAAAATTCTAATAGCAAATTATTTTTTTCTAATAACCCAAGAATTCTAGAACAATGCTCATTTCTTTCTATCATGATTTAAAGTTTTTCTTTAAAAATGAATATATAAGTACTACCCATTTTCTGGTTTAATAAAAGGCTTTTGTGTAATCAAATAGCATGTATCTGTGCACGAAATGATGGACTAATAATTACTTCTAGCATTAATTTTTTAAAGGACCCTGGCTTAGAAATATGCATTCCCTTATTCATTCATTCATTTGGCATTTATCAAGCACCTGCTATGTGAAATGCACTGTGTAGGTGCCAGAGATTCAAAGAGTATTTAGAAACAAAGGTACCCATGGAGCTTACAGTCTAGCAGAAATATATTCAAGTTTGATGCTTTTTAGTTCCTAGTGAATCTTTTATATGGACTTCTGTTTGTTGTGTAATGAATTGACTGAGGAGTGGCTGAGAACCAAATGCCTTTGGAAAGAGATTGCTTTTTTTTTCTGGAAAAAAAAATTGAGTTTGAAATATATCACTTCCTATCGTAGCATCAGTGTTGCCTACTCAATGCCTAACTCTTATGTATTCATAAAAAGGGGTAGAAAAAAATAGCATAAAGATGGAAGCAAAGCCCAAGGGAGATATGGAGAGCAGTTTTTCTCAAACTGAGATATGGGGAGTGCTTGTGTCGAAGTCCCATGAAGGGTGCACTTTTAATTGCACATTCCCAGGCCCCCTTGGACTGCTTGAATCCAAGTATTGGCAGTAAAGCCTGGGAGTCTGCATTTTAAAATAATCTCCCCTGGTAAGTTTTGTGGTACTCATATGGGAGAGCATGGATCTAGGCACTTGGAGAAACTCACCGGGACCAAATGAACTACTTCAAAGGGTGAGGAAGAACCCAGCAGACGTGTTCTCATAGGCACTGCAGATAACCTTTGAGAAATGTCTGAGAATGGAGAGAGCAGAGGTGATGAGTAAATAGTGCCCCAATTTCAAAAACAAGCAAAGAGTAGATGCCAGAAGCCACTGCCTTATAAGCCTGACATGACCTCTGGAAAAATTCTGTTCCAAACAGATGGAGTCAAAGCATTTAGAGGAAAATGTGATGATCACTAGGCATCACTATGGGTTCCCTAGGACATTGTCTGCAGTAGAGAATGGCAAACTTTGCTGCACATTAAAATCACCTGGGGAGCTTTTAACGCCCCTGATGCCCAAACCCCACTCAATACCAATTACCTCAGAATCTCTGGGGATGGGACCCAGGCATCACTATGTTTTAAATCCCCAGAGACTAATTTGGTGAGGTGCCGTCTGAGCATTGGGAGTTTTAAAAGCTCCCCAGGTGATGCTAATATGCAACAGAGTTTGACAGCCAGTTTGTCTATATGACTTTAGACAAGGGGCTTGGTTTTCTTGCACTTTGTGTAAATTCTGGGTAATTCTAAAAGTCTACCACCTTTAAACGTCTGTAATTCTGTTATTAAAAGTAATGGCAAACTGATTTCCTTCCTTCCTTCCTTTCTTCCTCCCTCCTTCCTTCCTTCTTCTCTTCCTCCTCCTCCTCTTTTTCTTCTGCTGCTGCTGGCTAGCCTGGAATGTCAAGGTGTCAAATTATATATCTTAATTTCATTAAAATAGTTAGCGAAATTTACCAGGACGTCTCATAGATAAGGAAGTGGATGCTTACGATGGGTAAATTTACCACCTAACTGAAGGAGTAGGAGAGTGTGAATGTAATGGGTCTGTAGTAACCCTAGAGATTGGTCTGGAGTGGAATGCCACAAGGGTTTTCTGCCCTTGGAGCTGACCCTGTTAACATTTTTTATGCCTGATGTAGATAAGAGAGATATGTAAGAAATGCCTCTCAAATTTGGAAATAACCCAAAGTTTAGGAGGGTTAATTAATTCAATACATAATAGAATCAAGCCTAGCTCTGATCAGAATATCTGTTTATTAAGGTTATTGTCGTTTTAAAAATATTTCCATAATTCAGATATTTTGCTCATTTTGTTTTGCCCCTTTCTTTCATTGAGTCGCAATCTTGCAGCGTTTAGTGTAGTACTAACGGAAAAATAGGCATGCCTGGCAGAGTCCCAAGTCAGTTGTTCTTTGACTTTGTTACTATCAAGAAATGCAAATAGATTAGCACAGGCTGGTTTGGAGTATCACGAAATAAAGGAAACATCACCCTAAAAAGGCATGAGGTGGGATTACTACAGAAAGGAATTTTGTTGAAAACTCCCATGGAGTGATTGTGGAAGATCCAATGTAACAGTCTCAGCTGAGCCATCGGAAGGCCTGGTGAGTGCAAGGGCAGACTTTGGAGGGGCCTCAGAAATGCCTGGAGAGCTTGTTTGAAAAGGGAACTTCCTGGATTCTGATGCTTTAGTTTCTGGGGAGGCCTTGAAGCCTCCTTTTTTTTTTTTTTTTTTTAAATAAGTGCCCTGACTGATTCTGAGAAATAGTGTCAAAGAACTCATTTTGATTTGAATTTTGGCATAGTTGTATAAATATGTTGTTGTTGTCTCATAGCCATTCTCCAATTTGTGTTTTTAAAAGCCCAGATAGATTTAACTATTTTGAGCTTAAAAGCAAAACAGTTAAATTATGTCAGATCCTTTCATATCCCATTCCCTATATTTCAATTAGAAAATTGTATGATCTTACATTTCCATTTTTCTTTTCATTTTAATGCTTTATTTTATAGAGTATTGATCTGACCTAGACACGGGGAAAATGTAATTTATGTGTTGCAGAAAAGCAATGTACAGCTGCTCTGTTGCTGCTTCTGTGTTTTGGAAAATAAACCAGGATTAGACTATGTCTGATCACTTTCCATATCATATGATGAAAGCAGTTGAGAAGAAGCGTAAAATGAATCCTGCTGAGCAGCCCTTAGACACCTTGTTAACGGCCGCTTTCCTCCCTCCCTTGTGTGTCCTCCTCATCAGGATCGGTGACCGAAGTGGATCAGTCAGGAGGGGCTCCTCGCAGAGTACAGGGAAGCACTTTTCACCCTGTTTTAGAGTGAGAAGTTGATTCATGATTTACAAGACATGGGCTGTGGCACGTCATCTTCAATGAAAGACAAGAAATCTGAGAAAGGTGAGTGCTAGGAGTGCGCCTGTCTTCCTGGATCAAAAGGGGAGAGTGAGCTGGGTTCACCCTCTGCCCCTTTCTCATTTACGCACACAGTTCTCAAGCTGCCCAGAGTGATTTTGCACGAGGCATCATCACTTGAACTGAAGGTTAAATTGGGATAACGTTGGAAACTACCTTTAGGAAGATGTAGCTTTGAATATATGATGTGCCATAAAGTGTTATCTGAGAGATATTTTATGTTTGATTTGATTTCAGTTGAAAATGTACCAATATAAAATCTCAATTTAAAACTCAGTGGCAGGGAACAAGAAAGCCTCTCTGTAAATTTATATCTGTTTATTCAGTACGTTTATAAATAGCTCTATCCATACCTATGTGACATTTGGTAGCATCATTGAATTTTTATTAGATTTTATAACTCGATCAGATTTTTTATAGCTATTCAATACAGAACTTCATGAGATTTGCTTCATGTTTTTAGAATATTCTACGTAGAATTTGAGAAATGCTAGATTATCTGCTTCCTGAAAAGTGTGTTGTTTCTGAATAGATGATGTGCCCCCCACTACCCCCATGTAATTAGAGGCTTCAGTATTTCCTTTGTTTATTTTGTACTGATGTTCTTTCTCATAGATACTAGAATCTATTTGAAACTCACTTGAGTGTTTAACGGACATAGTCTCCACATACAAATTAAACCAGAAACAAACAAGCTGCGGTGCTTGTGTGAATAAGTTGCTCTTAAACTCCATGCCTTTGTTATCTAGGTTATAGATAATTTTCCCAATTTCTGTTCCACATCTTGGTTTTAGCAGTTTACTCAGGCTTAAGATGCGGAGTTTAGGATACAGAGTATTCTATTCTAATTAGTGTGGAATGTTTTCCTTTGGGAATCACATGTTGGTCTCCCTCCCAGCTGACTTGTGCCAGTGAGTTAGCAAGTTAATCTCTGACAGTGGGGCAACAGGAGATGCACTAACTCTTTCAGATCTGTAAGCATGTCATGAAATAAATCTTTCAAAAGCTCCAACTGAACTAATTCCATGGTAGTAATTTATTATGAGAGTAAAGAGTGTTATTCTCTTTTTATATCTAAGATGACCCAGAGTTTTAAAAATTTAGCCAAATTTCTTAGGTTAAAAAAAACGTAGGGCTTCCCTGGTGGCGCAGTGGTTGAGAGTCCGCTTGCCGATGCAGGGGACACGGGTTCGTGCCCCGGTCCGGGAAGATCCCACATGCCGTGGAGCAGCTGGGCCCGTGAGCCGTGGCAGTTGAGCCTGCGCGTCCAGAGCCTGTGCTCCGCAACAGGAGAGGCCACAACAGTGAGAGGCCCACATACCGCAAAAACAAAACAAAACAAAACATAAAAATGTAAACATAAATTCTCTCTTTTTGAAATACTTTTCAGCTTTAAAAATGTTGCATGCAAATGGGAACATTAACTTCAATTTTTGGATTGCTGTTTCTTTTAAATAATTTATTGAGGTGAAATTCATGTAACACAAAATTAACCATCTTTTTAAAAATAAATTTATTTATTTTTGGCTGTGCTGGGTCTTCGTAGCTGCGCGGTCTTTCTTTAGTTGCGGCGTGCGGGAGCTACTCTTCGTTGTGGTGCACTGTCTTCTTATTGCAGTGGCTTCTCTTGTTGCAGAGCATGTGCTCTAGGCACACGAGCTTCAGTAGTTGTGGCACGTGGGCTCAGTAGTTGTGGCTCACGGGCTCTAGAGCGTAGGCTCAGTAGTTGTGGCGCATGGGCTTAGTTGCTCCAAGGCATGTGGGATCTTCCTGGACCAGGGCTTGAACCCTTGTGTCCTGCATTGGCAAACAGATCCTTAACCACTGTGCCACCAGGGAAGCCCAAAATTAACCATCTTAAAAGGAACAGTTAAGTGCCATTTACACAAAGTTGTGTAACCACCACTTCTATCTCGTTCTTGAACATTTCCATCACTCCAAAGTAAAGTCCCTTATTTATTAAGCAGTTTCTCCCTATTTCCTCTTCCCCCAGCACCTGGCAACCACCCATCTGTATTCTTTTTCTATGCATTTACCTGTTCTGGACATGTCATGTAAATAGAATCATACTCGATGTGACCCTTTTGTCTGGCTTCTTTTACTTAGCATAATGTTTTTGAGGTTCATCCGTGTTGTAGCATGTATCAGTACTTCATTCATTTTTAAGGCTGGATAATATTTCATCGTATGAATATATCTCATTTTTTAGTCCATTCATTTGATGGACATCTGGGTTTTTTCCACCTTTTTGGCTATTGTGAATAGTGTTGCTATGCACATGAGTGTACGTGTACTTATTTGAGGCCCTGTTTTCAATTCTTTGGGGTATATACCTAGTAGTAGGAATTTCAGGGTCATATGGTAGTTTTGTGGTTAACATTTTGAGGAAATGCCAAACTGTTTTCCTGGATCACTTTTTAATAATAGCAGCTTTATTATTCACATACTACACAATTCACCAGTTTAAAGTGTAAACTTCAGTGAATTTTTGGTATATTCATAGAGCCGTACAATCATCACCACAGTCAGTTTTAGAACATTTTCATCCCCCGCCCCCCAAACCATTAGCAGTTACTCTCCTACCCTATACCTCCACAGCCCTAGGTAATCACAAATCTCCTTTTGTCTCTATATGTTTGGGCTGTTCTGGACATTTCATATAAATGTAATCAGACAATATGGAGTCTTTCGTGTCTGACTTCTTTTATTCAGTGTTGTATTTCAAAGTTCATCCATGTTGTATCATGAATCAGAACTTCATTCCTTTTTAATGCTGAATAATATTCCATTGTATGAATATGTTACATTGTATTCATCCAATCATCAGTTGATGGGCATTTGGATTGTTTCTATTTTTTCGCTATAGTGAGCAATGCTACTATGAACATTCACGTAAAAGTTATTATATAAAACATGTTTTCAGTTCTCTTGGCTATAGACTTATGAGTAGAATTGCTGGGTCATATGGTAGCTCAATGTTTAACATTTTGAGGAACTTCTAAACTGTTTTCCCAAGTCGCTGCACCATTTTATATTCCCACCAGGAAAGTATGAGGGTTCTTATTTCTCCACATCCTCAGCAACACTTGTTATTGTCCGTCCTTTTGATTATACCCATCCTAGTGGGTATGGAGTGGTATCTCATTAGGGTTTTTATTTGAATGTCCCTAATGACTAATGATGTTGAGGATCTTTTCATGTGTTCATTAGACATTTGTAGATCTTCTTTGGGGAAATAACCATTCAGATCATTTGATGTGGTTTTTTTGGCTGTGTTGGGTCTTCATTGCTGTGCACGGGCTTTCTCTAGTTGTGGCGAGCAGGGGCTACTCTTTGTTGTGGTGTGGGGGCTTCTCATTGTGGTGGCTTCTCTTGTGGCAGAGCATGGGCTCTAGGCGTGCGGGCTTCAGTAGTTGCAGCACATGGGCTCAGTAGTTGTGGCTTGCGGGCTCTAGAGTGCAGGCTCAGTACTTGTGGCACACGGGCTTAGTTGCTCCGCGGCATGTGGGATCTTCCCGGACCAGGGCTCGAACCCATGTCCCCTGCATTGGCAGGCAGATTCTTAACCACTGCACCACCAGGGAAGTCCCATTTGCTAATTTTTTAATTGAGTTATTTATTTTTATATTTTTTTGTAAGAGTTTTTAAAATGTTCTAGTTACAAGCTCCTTATCAAATGTATGATTTGCAAATATTTTCTCCCATTCAGTGGGTTGTCTTCTCATTTTCTTTTTTTTCTTTCTTTTTTTTTTTTTTGTGGTACGCGGGCCTCTCACTGTTGTGGCCTCTCCCGTTGCGGAGCACAGGCTCCGGACGCGCAGGCCCAGCGGCCATGGCTCGTGGGCCCAGCTGCTCCGCGGCACGTGGGATCTTCCCGGACCGGGGCACGAACCCGTGTCCCCTGCATCGGCAGGCAGACTCCCAACCACCATGCCACCAGGGAAGCCTTCTTCTCATTTTCTTGATGATGTTCTTTGAAGCACAAAGGTTTTAATTTTGATGAAGTCCAATTTATTTTTTCTTTGGTTGCTTGTGCTTTTGGGCCAAAGTCAAGATTATTTGTGCTTATGTTTTCTTCTAAGAATTTTGTATTTTTAGGTCTTACATTTAGTTCTTGATCAATTTTGAGTTAATTTTCATATATGGTATGAGGTAGGGATACAAATTTATCCTTTGCATGTGAATATCTAGTTGTCCCAGCACCATTTGTTGAAAAGACTATTCTTTCCCCATTGAATGATCTTGGCGCTCTTGTCAAAAATCAATTGACCAGGGCTTCCCTGCTGGCGCAGTGGTTAAGAATCTGCCTGCCAATGCAGGGGACACGGGTTCAATCCCTGGTCCGGGAAGATCCCACATGCTGCGGAGCAACAAAGCCCGTGTGCCACAACTACCGAGCCTGCGCTCTAGAGCCCGCGAGCCATAATTACTGAAGCCCACGTGCCTAGAGCCTGTGCTGTGCATCAGGAAAAGCCACTGCAATGAGAAGCCTGTGCACCACAACGAAGAGTAGCCCCCGCTTGCCGCAACTAGAGAAAGCCCGCACACAGCAGCAGAGACCCAACCCAGCCAAAAATAAATAAATAAATAAATTTATTTATTTTTTAAAAATCAATTGACCATAAATGTCAGGGTTTATTTCTGGACTCTGAGTTCTGTTCCATTGATCTATATGTCCATCCTTATGCCAGTACCACACTGTCTTGCTTACTGTAGATTTTGTAGAAAGTTTTGAAATTGGAGGTGTGAATCCTTCAACTTTGTTTCTCTTTTTCAAGATTGTTTTGGCTTTCTGGGTCCCTTGCATTTCTATATGAATTTTAGGATCAGTTTCTCAAAAGAAACCAGCTGGAATGTTGATGTGGATTACGTTGAATTGGTAGATCAGTTTGGGAAGTATTGTCATCTTAACAGTTAAATCATCTGATTCATGAACACAGGATAGCTTTCCATTTATTGAGGTCTTTAATTTCTTTCAGCAATGT